GCCAGATTCTCCACTCAAGCCATGAGTGTCCGTGGTTGTAGCGCCCTTACTCAATCTCCGCTGGCTTTCAATGCCAGTGAAATGGTTGAGGAAGAAGCGCAGGGATCTCCTAAAACCTTGCTTTCCCTCCATGTGTGGGGGGATAAGTATGGTTCGGAGTTCCTATGGCCGACTGTAAATAGTGTAATAGGTATGCCTGCGTCTAAGATGTTTATTTTCATTACTTTTTTTTTTTTTTTTTTTTCTCACTATGATATTTTATTTTGTTCTTTTGTAGCTTTATATTATTTGAAGTTAGCTTATTTTTTTTTATTTACTTATTTTTTTGTAAATATGGTGTGAATGTGCTCTCAGAACTCTATTATAAATGTCCTTTATTGAGACAGATTGTAATATTTATCAATAAACCAAAAAAAAAAAAAAATAAAAAAAAAAAAGAAAAATACGAGGAAGGTGATTCTGTGATGCAAAGATTCGAATTTAACGTTACAAAAGGATGAAATAAACACAATGCAGGTAGACTATTCTAGCAATAGAACTTGTCTGAAATAATTCAATAAAAAAAACTGCCTTCCTTGTTTTGGCTTGAATTCTCACTCTTTTCTCAGTATCCCTTTCGGCTCTGAAGTGAATCGCAGACTATCATATACTCAGCATCAATAACATTTAATTTTCTTTTTCTCTTCAGATCTTCATCTGTACCTGTCATGAGAGTGACTATCAGCAGAGTTGATGAGGATATAGACAGTAATGGCATGAATAATATCTGATTTGATGTTCACAAAATCACATTTGTCAAATTTTCGGCAAACATTAACTCAGTTATAATCTCAAAATTTGTCACTTAATAAACAAATTGAAATTATAGAAACTGCAGGAGAAAATCTTTAAAAAATAAATAGTGAAATAGGAAAAAATATATCTCAAAAATTTTACTGTGTAATAGAAAAAATACAGGTTACGATGCTCTCACAAAAACATATAACGACTGCATTAACATTATAAATGTTAATATTGACCCCTGACATCAGTTCATGTTGAACGACATTTTTCTCAATTAAAAGATGTAGCAAATAATAGAAAAAACATTTTTTCAGATACGAATTTCGAAACCTATAACATTGTAAATTTCAACTCAATTAAAAAATAAGATTTTTATTATAATGTGGACAATTTATAATTATGTATGTTCATATATTATTTTTAATTAAAATTAAATATCTGAAATCAATTGGTTTGATATTTATAATATATACTTATCCATCTTTAATCTTTTTTAAGTTCCTCTACATTACTTCATTCCTTGTATGTGCCAGTCAATTAACCAATTTAAGGGAAACTTAAACAACTATATTTAATTATTTGCCGGTTAATTATTGAGACCTTTTTGTATTTTCTTTGTTTTGTTAATTATCTTTAAATTTTCTATTATTTATGTCAGTCCTTATTTTTATTAAAATTTCTCTTTCTTCAAGATTTAGGTTAATTTTAATTTATTGTGGTATGAGGCGATGGTAGTCGTTAGTTGATTGTAATATAGATTTTAATTTTCAATATTGCATTTTAATTTTTTTTTTGTGAAGAAATTTTAATTCAGAAGCTTAACATTAGGTTTGATAGGATTTTGATGGATTAATATTATAAATTAAATTAAATAGATGATTTTTACACGTTTTCAGCTATAAATTAGGCAATTTTACATATTTTGGGTTTTTACAGCACGATTTTGCACATTTCGAGGTTTTTACTGTACGTTTTTCGGATTATTACTGGACGAAGATCCAGGTCTCTAATTATAACAGTTATAATTATAACTGGACAATTTATGGTCCAAATTAAGAGAGATAATTTTTTACAATTTTCAGATGTATTTTTGGGAGTTCTGAAATCCCCTAAAAGTTCTAAAAATTAATATCAACAGCCATAATGCTTAAATTGGCAGAAAAAAAAAACAGATATGAGTGACAAATTAAATTTTTACAACTTTGAGAGGTGAGAACTTTCAAATCATATATTTTTTTTTCTGCCAACCTTAGAACTTACACCTTATGGATGTTAGTAATAATTGTTAGAATTCATAGGAAGTAGGCTATAGAACTTTAAATGTAAATGGCAGTAAGTGTACAAAATTTTACTTACATAAACATTTAATTGCATATTTTCCTTTTCCTTGTATATTTGTTTGCATATATACTATATTAAAGTAGTTAAATAGGCAAGACTATAAGTTGCAAGGGAAAAAGTAAAGGAAAAATGTATAGGAATCAACATTTTGTCTAGAATCAATAACATTTTTTTCTAAAACTTAGTAGTCCCAGGGGTCTTGTTACTTCTCTATATTGTTACTGTATATTTTTTTTAATTTATAATATTCATTTCTTATTTTTTTTATTTATTAATGTTTTTAAATTTATTTATTTTATTTTTATTTAATTTAAACATTAAATTAAACATTTAAACATTACCAAATTTTCGAGTTTCAAGATGAAAAAAAAGTTTCTTCAACTTCTTCAAATTTCTTGCTACAAGAAACTACTCTTAATTTTTATTAATAAACGATGGTAGATAATTGTTGACTGTTGAAAGATATTGTAAAAGAGAAGTTAGTTAGGGATAGCAGTCATTGAAATTACAAAGTAAAATTAAATAATATTTATTTTCTTTGTGCCGATGTTTCGGCTGCTCATTCAAAGGGATTCAGACAAGTTAATTTTACTTAATTAAGGTAATTTTTATAATTATATAAAATAATACAATCACCAAAATGGAATTAAATTTCAGAAGGTTTACTGGATAGGATGTTCCACGAATTATTTTAAAGGAATATTTTTATATTTTAACTCGAAATTGGTGGAAATTTATGGTGGTCTCAGACAGGAAAGTATACTTCTTATAACTTACAAGTTTTTCTATCTTCATAATAGATCATAAATAATATTATACCGAGGGATCGAGAATAGCAAAAGAGACTCGAGCACGTGATCGGTATAATAGGATTATGAAGTAGAGCTGAGAACTTCCAAAGAAACCCAAGCGCCCCCTCGAGCTTGGTGAAAGGTTAAAATATAAAATAGTCTTCTAAATGTAACAAATGAGTAATATGATACATCATAGATGAGGGAAAGGCAAATTTAAATAATATTTACTTAAACATCAGCAGTTTTCAAAAATGCTAGTGCTGGTATCATTTAATTTTTTTTTTTTTTTTTTGGTTTATTGATAAATATTACAATCTGTCTCAATAAAGGACATTTATAATAGAGTTCTGAGAGCACATTCACACCATATTTACAAAAAAATAAATAAATAAAAAAAAATAAGCTAACTTCAAATAATATAAAGCTACAAAAGAACAAAATAAAATATCATAGTGAGAAAAAAAAAAAAAAAAAAAAAAGTAATGAAAATAAACATCTTAGACGCAGGCATACCTATTACACTATTTACAGTCGGCCATAGGAACTCCGAACCATACTTATCCCCCCACACATGGAGGGAAAGCAAGGTTTTAGGAGATCCCTGCGCTTCTTCCTCAACCATTTCACTGGCATTGAAAGCCAGCGGAGATTGAGTAAGGGCGCTACAACCACGGACACTCATGGCTTGAGTGGAGAATCTGGCCATTGCCAGAACTCCAGTATATACATGTTACAAAAGGTCACGGGGCCACTGCCGTTTCAGCCTGCGAGGAGGATTGTAGGGATGAGTGGTGCTAGATAGGGATTGTGCTACGGGATTAGGGTGATGGGTAAGGTTCTGATGAAATTTGGAGAATTTGTCTGGGATAAGATCAAGAATAAATGGAATATTAAGGTCATTGTGCAGGGTTTTATTAGAGACATAAAAGGGAGCATCGACTATTGTACGGAGGACTTTGGACTGGAAGGATTGAATGCGTTTGATGTTAGAAAATTTGGTTGTCCCCCACAGTTCTAGTCCGTAGGTCCACATGGGTTTTAATATTGTCTTGTAGATCAGTAGTTTGTTTTCAATAGAAAGTTTAGATTTTCTATTAAGTAGTCTATATAGCTGGCCATAACGTCGGTTAAGTTCCTGTCTTTTCAGTCTAGTATGTGGATTCCACGTTAGTCGTCTGTCTAGGAGAAAACCAAGGTACCGGGCTGTGTCGCAGAAGGGAAGCTGGATGGTATTAAAGTAAACTGGTGGACAGGAATTACGACGAAGGGTGAAGGTTATATGTTTACATTTGGATTCATTGACTTTGATGCTCCATTTCTTGCACCAGTGTTCAATCAAGGACAGGTGCTGTTGCAGGTTTCTGGACGCTATTTCAGGATCTGAGTTAGAAGATAGGATCGCAGTGTCATCAGCGAAAGTTGCCAGGAGGAGGATGGACGGGAATGTCAGCGGTATAGATGATGTAAAGGATGGGACCCAAGACGCTGCCTTGAGGAACTCCAGCCTCAATTGAATAACAGTCGGAAAATTCTGTACCACAGCGAACTCGAAAGGAGCGGTCGGAGAGGTAGGATTGGAGTATTAGGTATAAGGACTGTGGTAGATGGGATTTGAGCTTGAAGAGCAGTCCGGCGTGCCACACCCGGTCAAAAGCTTGCGCTATGTCCAGAAATATTTAATATTTAATTGTATAGATTTAGACAATATAAAAGTTAAAATTTTCGTATATACTGCTAAAAAAATTAATAGGCATGTTGTTAGTTAAGTTGATTTATTTTCCCAAGAATTTTATTTTTTTTATTATAAAATGCTTTAAAAATTAATACAAATAAGATTGTATTTGACCTCATAAAATTGTGTATGAGTTGTTTAAAAAAAAAAAAACAATAAAATTAAAGATTTTTCAATCATAAAAACAAGATCCTCCTCATTATATACCACCTCTCCTGAGAATGTAGTCCTAAACATACATAAATAAATCAAAAGTTTTTCTCAACATTCAATTGACATTACGATATCCTTAATCCTAAATTAATGGAATAATTGATAAATAGCCATTTTAAATATTTTATTTTAAATACCTGGGAACTTCTGTACTGGTCAGGAAAATTTCTATTCAGATCTTTGTTACGAGCATTAGCTCTTCCAATAACTGATCCATAATCACCTGAAAAAAATCAATGCATATATAGCAATGATTCTTCTGAATGGTACAGTAAAATGTTGAAGATCTGGATATAATTGAAAGGAGATAAAAATAGCAATATGTCATATAGTGATTCATAAAATTAAATTTAAAGATATATTCGTTTTCTCATAAATAATATCACAAATTATGTGTTATTATTTATATTACTAATAACTAGAGTAACATTGTTAACTGGAATGTTCTATTAGTGCGAAAATGGTGATATAGTATACCTGATTTTAAAATATTAGGGACAACAATTTGGCAATGGTAAAAAATATTGACCGATTTGTAATGTTTAAAAAAAAGTGAAACTAAGGCCAAGTCACTCGGTCGTTAATTTGGAAGCCAAGCAAGTTTTTAGTATTTTTATTCTTCACTGATCTGTTTATATATAATCATATAAACAGATATATAATATAATATTATATATATATATATATATATATATATATATATTATTAAGTTGCATTACCAGTGACAATGGAAACAAAATCCATCTCAATTATTTTTATCAAATTGAAGTTGGTTGGAGTGTTCAGTCAAAGAAAGGACAAAGTAAAAATAAATAATTTATATTTATTTTTATTTCCTAGTGCCAACATTTCGGCCTGAGTTTCAGGCTTTCATCAGGGATAAGAAAAAAGACAGCACATAAATATTGAGAAACTAGTAGATGATAATAGTTATAATCTATATTGAAGAGAAGTTAGTTGGGATGTTCAGTCAAAGAAAGAACAAAGTAAAAATTTAAAAAAACAAGCAGTTCTGGTATGTTTCTGAGGCTCTGATGGGACTGAACATGTCTATTGCTGGACTACAACATTCGAGCAGCCAGTACAATTTTATCGTGTCACAAATTGGCAACCCGATGCAACCTTTCAGAGGCAGAACATTGGGTTTGGGTGGCAATTCTGCCAGCAACATTAGGGAGTATGTTACATGCAGGCTCGGATCTACCCTGGTAGTGTTCTGAGGCGTCCCTTGCTTGGCAGTTTTAGTGCCAGATGTCGGGCCATGTCTTGGCAGACCTGTTCTTCAGAATTCCAAATCCCATCAACGGGTTAGTGGGAACTGATTTATACCCCTGCCTTATTACCAGTGTTTCCACTAAGACTGGAAATGGGCATCTTTTTCTATTATCCACTCTACTAGAAAAGACGTCTAACCACCCCTTCCAGTGGCATTTCCCTTCTAGCACAGGATGATTCAGTAATATTGGTGCAGCTTAGGGCATTGTGTAAGCTAGAGGAGCGTGGCACTGTTGACTGCTTTGCGGAAGACATTCGTGAAAATATAATCTCACATCACTGACAGGAGGTACATTGTGTGGTTACCCAGAAGGGACATCACAGTCAGACCTGATTCCAACTGTGAGATTGTCTTTTATTGGCTTTATTTCCTTGAGTGCCGATTAGTATGGAACCTGTGGCTCCAGGACAAGTACTTCGAGCTTATGGCAAAGTACAAGAATATGTCAGTCACGAACATCCTCATCAATTATGTGATCCCTCATCACGGTGTTTGGGAGGTTAAGCCGCAGGAGACAAAGCTGTGTGTATGGTTTGACCCCTCGAACAGTGCCGGATCAAGGAGCCTTAATGACATACTCATGTCTGGGACCAAGCTGCATCAGGACCTTGGTGATATCCCATTGCCCTGACCAGCAATTTAGTAAAGATCTAAGTATTGGAGCATCCCAAGGAAAGGCATCTGCAAAAATCTTATACTGTCAATATCATCTGTACGCCGACGATGTCTTGATTTACCTCTCCTTAAATCCGACCGATTCCTCTAAGGCCATCCTAAAACTACAGGAAGATATTAAGAGAATATATGCTTGGGCAAACCCTCAATAGGCTTACTCTAAACGCCAAGAAGACAAAAGCCATCCTAATTGGATTTTCCTCACTTCTCGATTACTTTCCGATATTCCCAATCTTCTCCTGAACAATTCACCAATCTCATTCCATACTTCCGTAAAAAACCTTGGTGTTACTTTTAATCAAACCATCTCCAGGAAACCACACATCTCCCAAATTTTCCGTCCTACTATCTCTACCCTGGAACAGTTCAACCGTCTACGCTATCTCCTTCTATACAAGTTCCGTCAACTCCTGAGTTCCTCTCATTTGTTTCCCCATTTTGACTATGGCTGTATAGTGTACAGTGGACTGTCGGAAGAATTTGAAATCAAACTTAAATGCCTAATGAATTGTTCAATACGTTTTGTTTTTAGGATCTCAAGAGATACCCATATTACCCAGTATTACACCAAGTTGAAGTGGCTCTATCCACCAAAAATGAAAAGCAAGAGGGATCCTTTATTTTTATTTCAAGAGTACAAAAAGAATCAGTATTACAATAAAATAATCTGATAATTTGAACAAACTAGTAATGTATACAATTTCATGTAAATGTACTGAATCTAATTAATAAAATAGATATATAAAGAAATACGAGTGACTAATTTTTAAGTTTATGTTTGTTGTTCATTGCTATAGAATTGATTTTATAATTTATAATTTGAAAGTAATAGTATACCTTCAGTGGAGGTTTCATATCCATCTGGGTTCATTGAAGGTAATAAATGAATTCTGGTTGAATTGACAATTTCAGTCACTGTCTTGTTTGAACCATAATTTTGGCACAAATACTGTGCTAGAAGAATCAACATTTCTCTTCCAATAACTTCATTTCCATGCATGTTAGCAACATACTTAAATTCTGGTTCTCCTAGAAAAAGAGTAAAAAATATATATCACACTTTTAATGCAATACTAACACATCTCTAAAACTCTGGTGCAGTGTGCACATCATACAACTTTCACTTATTACCGTTCATTCACTTATTAAAAATAAGTCTTTTCATCATTTGATGTTTTAGGCTCAAAACATCTAAGCCATTACTGCCCAATTAATAAAGTATATTAATGTTAAAATATTTAGCTGGTAGGAACTGAAAGTCAAAATTACAGATGAGTCCAGTCATTTGGTAATTTGGACATGAAAAAAATGCTGAAGAATTCTTTTTCAACGGATCTATACGTTTTTTGGGATGGTGAATCTGAAAATTTAGTTATCAAATAGTTTTGGATATGGTTTCACCATAAAAATGACAAAAAAACAAACATTTGGAATTTGTTTCAGTTTTTCACTTACAACTCTATAACAAGGCATCCTTGAGAAAAATCACTTGTATCAAAAAGAAAGCTGATAAAATTTTCTAAAACACAAAACTAGAACGACCTCACTAGCTTTTTTGTTAGGCCGTAATAGTGCGATAAAGATTGACCATAGTTTTCAAGTTATCCAAAATCTTTATATTTCAGACTTTCAAAGCCTTGCGATATACACTTATATATCAGTTAAGATCTGCAAATGCAATGGTATTAGCCATAATAGCCTACATTTTTATCTTGTATAACCTCTTCTTATCACTCGTCTTGTGCATTCTCGTTATTCAGTTTTGTTTAATTTTTGTTATTTTATATTTAAAATTAATATAACAACGCTTTGGCATTTGCCGTATTTAGATGCTGTGAAATACTTTCAGAAGTTCAGAATAATCCAAAAGATGAAATTCTGTGAAGAAGGTCATCAAATGGAGTTGCAGGAAAAACATTTATGAAAGAATTAGAACGTGGTGAGAAGGGTCAAGAATTACTTTTTTGACAGATTTAAAGTTTATGTATGGCTGGTCTCATAACAACAATTGAGGGGGACAAAGAGCAGCTGAAACAACCGAAAAAAAACTGTGGTACTTCCTGCTTTTTGGGAGAAGTTTGTGCCCATAACATGTTATATAGGACAACATTAAAAAATTAGAAAAGTTGTTGAAATAGAGGAAGGTATTTTTTTTTAAAGAAAAAATCATTTAGAGAGAGTGCTCCCTGAACAATGGATGTTTGGCAGAGTTTGTCGAAAAACAGACAAGAGTTTCATTGTAAAAATAAAAGACAGAAAAGCAACAACTCTATTAGAATGTAATACAAATTTGAATTACAGATAATTAACATTAAATGAGAGTTTGGTCTGGACCGTTGACTTAGTAACATCGTCTCTGTGCTACTTAGTTTTACGTTTAGAAGGTCTACACCTACGTCGACGATCGTCAAGTTCAAGTTCGAGGTACTTATCTATTATCAGTCTACAGCTGTGTGATAAATAAATAAATTGTTGGTCACTTAATTCAAATTAATTTTGAAAGTTTTAATTCTTTTTTTGCACTTTATTCATTTATTATATTGTGATTTTCTCAATTTAATTTAATTGTTTAACGTGAAAATGGCTGCAGAAATTACTTTAAATGACGTAATGACCCTTCTGAGGGACACAAACGATCAAGTTAAAAAGGGAAACCAGGAAATGAGAACCTTAAAAGAATCGGTTGAATGCTTTCAAATTGAGTTGAACGAACTAAAATCAAAACTAGAAAATTTAGAACGGTCACACAACCTATTAAAAACTGCAATAAAAAACGAAATCTCAAAAAGGAACCAAAATATTGATTAAAAAAAATATACTAATACAGAAAAAAACCTAATATTACATAATTTTAAAAACATCACAAATGAAACGCATAACACTCTGGAAGAGACTATAATAAATGCTATAAATAACTTGAGAAGGAGTTAGTCGAGGGCGCGGTCAAATAAATAATAAATTAAAATATATTAATTATTTTAATTTATTTATATTTTATATATACAAATATATTTTAATTTATTATTTATTTGACCGCACCCTCGACTAACTCCTTCTCATATTATATCAACGGTCAACCATCTCTACATCGCTATAAATAACTATTTGAAAATTAACCCCAGCCTTTCAGAGATAGACTTGATCACCAGATAGGGATCACCATCAAAACAGAATAGGCCGGTGTTGATAAAATTTTTGCAATGAGAAGAAAAATACAGATTTTGAATGCAAGCTGGCAACATAAATCAAATTTGAAGTTCTCTTGCGATTATACTCCTCAAGAGAGAGTAACCAGGAAAGAATTATGGCCATATATTAAAAAAGCACGTGAAAATGAGCGAGTCACCTCAGAAAAATGAGATAGAAGACTTGTATAATAAAAAACAAGCCAATAAGAAAATAAATAGTTCTTTGAAATTAAGAAGCAGCAGCCTGGAGAGATATTTCAAACAGGGCACAAATAAGAATGACAAAATATTGGGAACCTCTGGATCGGTAACGAATTCCTAGATGTTTATAGGCAACCAGGTTACCAAACTAGGTTATGACAATGGAAATTTCGACAGGATAGTAAATAAAAAGGAAACTAAAAAATTATCACAGATGAAAAAGTGGGATATAATCACCTATAATTATAGAACACTAATGGCAGATTCTCAATTAACCGAGTTGAAAAACGAATTGGAAGTTATGAAATGGTCTCTTATTGGTCTGTCAGAAATGAGGAGATATGGTACAGGCAGTTTGGAGTACCAAGATGGTACAACACTGTATTATAATGGTACTAATAAAATGGAATTTTGAAGATAAGTTAAAAACAGTTTTGCCGAAGTTAGACCAAGAGATGACAACTTCAACCCAAATTACAGAAATAATAAACTCATTAAAAAAGGTACTTGAACAGTTTAAGGAAGAGAACTCCACGATAGACGGTAACTGTCGAAATCTCCCAAGAAAGATTAAAAATCTTCTAAACAAAAGAAGAAATTTAAAAAAAAAGGAGCAAGATATAAGACAACTTAACAAATTAATCAGAAAGGAAATTAAGAACTGGCTGAGAGAAAGGAAAGTAGAAAAGATGGAGGAAGCCATTAGAACAGGAGGTAAACTAAAAGAGGTAGGGATCTCTAAAACAAAAATGACTGCTATTTTAAATGAAAATGGGCAAGAATTAAATGATAACTTGGAGATAAATAATAGAATAAAAGAATATTATGAAAAACTATATTATGATAAAAGAAAAGATAAAACTGCGGAGTGGAACATAGAAAACTGGAATCCAAAAGAAGAAATTATGATTGAAGAAGTATTAAGTGTAATAGATATTTGTAAGGAAGAAAAATCAGGAGGTGTTGATGGTCTGACAATTGCACACATAAAAGCTGGGGGAATGATAATAGCGCAGGCACTCACTCACTTATATAATAAATGCCTTAAGAATGCAAGCTTTCCTGAAGAATGGGAAACTGCAAAACTCATAATTCTGCCAAAGAAAGGAGATAAGAGAGATTTAAATAATTATCGCCCATTAAGCCTACTCTCAGTTTTATATAAAATATTTTGTAAAATCCTACTTAGAAGAATAGAAGACAAATTGGATATAGAATTAGAAAAACATCAAGCCGGGTTTAGGAAGAATTACTCTACTGTAGACCACATATTTGTGATTAAAGAGTTAATTAAGAAAGCTAATGACTATAATCTGTCAGTGAGCCTCCTTTTTCTGGATTACGTAAAAGCATTTGACTCTCTAAAAACCGATTGTATTATAAATATGTTGAAAAAGAGGAACATTAGTTCAAGAATATGCAAGATACTGGAAGATATGTATTCGAGATCCAATGCAGAAGATAAATCAGGAAATACAACAGTAAAAATAAAAATTTGTAAAGGTGTACAACAAGGTGATACCCTTTCTCCTAAAATATTTATATCAGTTCTCCATGATTTGATGCAAACTATGAATTGGCAGAACAAAGGAATGAACATTTTTGGAGAGTGGCTGAACCATTTAGAGTTGGCTGATGATCAAGTCTTAATAGGTAAAAATAAAGAAGAAATCCTAACGATGGCAAATCAATTAATAAAGGCTGGAGAAAACATAGGACTCATGTATATATCTATTTTTTATCAATTGTTTTTTTCATTGTATGTACAAATAAAGGTTATTATTATTATAATTAATACTGAATAGTAATTTTAATTAAAAATTTAAATAGATTTAAGCTATTTTGTCTCTTAAAATAAAAAATCTGGTCCGTGAAACACACAACTTTCACTTACCACTATACTTAGAACAGAAATTATTTTCTGACAATGTTGTGCTATTATAAAATTTTTGAAGTGCATTTTAAACAGAGCTAAATCTTAAAGCTTACAGATAACAAATCATTAAGACCATTAAAATTACAAAAACTGTATTTATTATATCCACGGTAGGCAATAATAATCTAGTTACTGCATCTGTTTTTATAAACCACATAACTTTAGTCTCTGAGCCTTCCAGTTGACAGAATGACTAAAACTCCAATTTCAACATTTTTGAGTAATGACATTTTAGTGATATTTCTAGTTGGAAAAGTTGTATCTATACAGACAGTGGGCAAGTTGATTCCAGAGTAGGTGATTGCAATGTTGAAATATAAAACTGTAAATAACGGTGTAAATTTTTCCACTAGAAACATCACTAAAATTAATAATAAAGAATGTTAAAATTGGAGTTAGTCTTTTGTTCGAGAACACAGCCATTGGACTATGGATGAATAGAGTGCTGTACTTTTTACAGATCAGTCAAGATTCACTCTTCGATCTCCAGACGGGCGTGAAAGGGTGTGGAGAAGAAGAAACGAAAGATATGCAGGCTGTAATTTTTCCCAGAGCCAACCTTTCCAACGTGGTTACTTAATGGTGTGGGATGGGATTTCAATGGAGCGCCGCACAGAATTGGTTGTTGTTCGTGGAGGATCTTTGAAGGCCATTAACTATGTAGATGAGATTTTGGAACCTCATGTGTTGACTATCCTCAACGA